ATACTCCGTAACTAGTAATTAGCATTGAATTGAATAAGACATTGCTATAATTATGATCATGATGATTCACAAGCTCAAATTGAATACAAACTCTTAAATAGACCCGGTTCACATTAATCTATTGTGGACCACTTAGAGTAGTGTTACTATTGTCGTTTTATTAATTAAAAAAAAAGTCACTATGTTAAAATAATGGTTTTTATGTTAAAATAAAAGTGATTGTGTTTTTATAGATTAATTTATTTGATGAAAATTTTAAAATAGCGGTCAATATGAATAATATAAGTCACTAGGTTAAAATTAGGATCATAACGTCATACTTCAAGTTTGCAACAATATTAAAAATCACACAAATTTTATTGAAGGTTACTATGTTAAAATTAAAGTTACTATATTTAATATAAGGGTCACTATGTTTAATACCAAAGTCAGTTGCAAACGTGAAGAATTTCGGGTTTACAATAATATTATTGTGAACCAGGTTCACACAAGTTTTTCTGCAAACTGAAAGCGTATATCATAATGATATAACCTATCAATGCTAAAGAGTAAAGACAAACATGTAACATTGTCCTCTTTTTCTGACCATACAAAAATCTGACTAGAGTATTGGCAGTGACAAAAATGTAGATTATGTTGTTTCTTTTGTTTTTGGTTGTTTTGATCTAAATTTATAATGACAATGACGAGCAGGGTTGTGTGGACGTGGATGTCGTAGTCCTTGCTTGATCGGAGGGGATGAGGATGCGGCTGCAGATGCAGATGTCGTAGTCTTAGTCGTTGGTCGTCGATCAGATGTATTGACGAGCGGATGCGGATGCGGATGCAGATGGTCCTAGATGTTGCTTGTGGGGCTGGCTGCTGAGCTTGCAATTACAATTTAAGCATGTGGACGTACCATAAATAAATTTGTAGTACTATACTACATTGACATAATGGACGTACCACATATAAATTTGTAGTACTATACTACATTGATACTTCTAAAGAGCATTGTTGGTTACGTTTTTGATTAGTTTGCATTTAGAGTAGACATCATTGTGACTTGTATGGGACAAGGGAAATGACAAGAACAAAAGTGAGTGATTTTATGTATCTACTACCACTGTACTCTGTAAAAGGAATGTTTCATGGCCTCCGTCTTCAAATAAAAGGCTCGTTTTATGCGTTTGTCTAAATAAAAGTTTTTATTCATCTTATATAGTTTTTCTTTTATTTTCTATCAATCAAACACAATTATTTTTTCTAATGCAATTTTAATCAACCAAACTCCACTATATTACTTTTTATATTTCACAAACTTTTATGTGGCTGGCCACATCGTGTGGCCAACTATTATGGGGGTTACTTTGTTAAAAAAAGGGGGGGGGGGATTAGTGAAGCGTATCTAAGACATCAATATCATCATTTTATTATTTTTATTGAGTCGTCTATTAATCATGAGGTTGAATGGCGTCAATCCTAAAGTTACGCGTGATTAATCGAATTGGAGTTGGAGTAGAATTAGTAGATTGATAAGATATTATTTTCTAATGTTATTAGAAGATAAATTTTGTTATTTAGGATTAGTATTTAGTATTTATATCTTATATATTTTATTTTATCTTTTAGTTATCCTAACGGCATGGGATGTTTGCCTATAAATATTCTTTATTTTCATTAATGAAGGCAGAGAAGTTTTGAGTTATAATTGATCAGTTCGTATGAATTGTTTTAGCAAGAGAGTTGCATATGATATTTTGCTGAGAAAGCTACCAATATAGTTGTTATTTAGTCTTGGTTAGATTAAATAGCTTGATATCCCCGAATTTCCTGAAGAGCCCATAAAAATACGCATCAGTTACTTACTCGGTCAGGGGATACAAAGTCGGCCAGGGGTTACTCTATAATACCCCGTATTTTCATACGTATTTTAACTTAAATAAGTATTTCTTAAAGTATTTATATAATTCGAAATGAATTATCTATGGTGTTTCATTAATTTAAAAAGAATTATTTTAATTAAAAGTTTATTTTTTAATTATTTAACAATCTTGGAAATATTTTATTTCATGATTTGGAAACTTTGGGGCATATTATTTTTATAAAAATGTAATTTTTAAGGTCAATGGTATTTAAGAAAAGTCAAAATACTAGTTTGAATAGGAAAGGGATCATTAAGGGTAGTAAAGGAATTTTAAATAGGAGGGTTATTGAGAGAGGGTATAAATACCTATCATATGAGCAAAATCAAATTTTTCCAAGGTGAAGAATACCTAAAGGTAAACTCTCTCTCTCCTCTTATTTTCTTTCCCCTTAATTTTTCCCCTTCCCCTATATTTTAATTTTAATTTTTTTTCACCACCACCACCACACACACACCACAGTGGCCGGCTGCCACCACCACCACAGCCGGCAGCAGCAGCAGCCGTGGGAGGTGGCGCCAGCCACCCACCCTTTCCCCCTTGTGCGTGCGTGTGTTTTGTAAAAAAAAAAAAATTCTTCCTTTTGATTTCTTCTATTTGGGTTTTGTGATGATTTTTATGATATTTGATTTTAAGTATGACGTATATAAATTTTCAGATTTGATTTTGAATTAAAAAGCCCCAAATTATAAACCCTAGGTTTCTAAGTTTATGTATATTGATGAAAATTGTTTATAGGTGATCTAAATTATTGAAATAAGTGTTTTAAAACACAATTACAACAATTTTAGATGATTTAATAAAGCTGGAATTTTTATATATAAGCTATAATTATGTTTCTTGAAAGGATTTTTAATTACCCATTAATTGGGAATAAAAGTAAGGGTTTTAAATTAAATTTTAGCTTGTTTTAGAGGGTTTATGAGTGATTTAAAGAGTGTATATATTGCTGGAAATTTGGGTGGAATATCTATTAATGCCTCTTTGTAATTTTGGTTTGTAGGAGGTTTCCAAGTGAGTGATTTTATTTTATTCGTGGCGATTTTGAGATCATATTCAAGGTATGTTCACGTACTTGGTAATTATTTGAATATGTAGAAGCATGCTAGGCTTTGATAAATTAATTCCATGTAGTATCATGATAGGTGTTGGTTGGAATTTGTTGATTGGTTTGATGTTGGTAAATGATTTGTGAGGTATGAATTACTTATTATGAATTGGTGATTGGAATTAAATATGTTGCCATGTTGGATATGAACCATACTTTTATTATTATCATGATGGAAGACATGTTTAATTAAATTAAATGTTTAATTTGGTTTGGAATATGAAAAGGAAATTTTATTATGGTTCATATAATTTTTATTGATGCTATAAGCATGAGGAAGGAGCTATTTAAGTGTCTATGTACACGAGGATTAAATTATGTTTTGGTGCTTAAGTGCACTTAAAGTGTTCGAAACACCGAGGAATAGGATCTGTGGTGCTTTATGCGCTTAAGGTGTTATTTAACACCGAGATAGTTTAAAAAGGATTCAACATTTAAATTTATGTGGTCACTAATTATTTAAGAATTAAATTGGTATGTTTGATTGCTTGAATGAATTATAATGTTTGATTGTGTTATGGTTTGTGAGTCATCACCAAGTATAGTAATATGTAAAGCAACGTAAAGTGAAAGAGATTACACACCAAAACTTTTGGAACGTATATACCTTGAGTATGAACATACGAGGGGAGTTATGCGACTTTATATTTGACCATAACTTCTACTGGAGTACAGGATGCTGTATATTTTTTTTTATTATGCGCAGGAATTCCGCCACATACGAGTGGTTCTTTTATAATGGCACGGTTAGTTGCCGTGTTAGTATTCCTTTATTGGGGCAGGTTAGGGGGAAACCCGTTTGATGCGTAATCAAATTAAATGGACATTGGTATTTGTCTAGTTAAGTGTTGAATGTCTTGTATGCTTGTTTACAGGTGTAACAAGGTAAGTTGTGTGATGATAGGATGAAAGCATGATAGTGTGTTTTATTACGCTTATATACTCATCATTGTCGATTGTGTATTGTATGTTTGTTTGACCTTATCTTTACCTTAGCCCTACGACGACCCATTTCTAATGGCGAGTAGTGGGGACAAGTAGAGAGAAGTTTTTCAGGTGATGAAGCATTTTCGTGATGGGCATGAGTAAAGAGCGAATCATCTTAGTTTCCATAGGAATATGATGTGTTTTATTCGCTTTGAATAATATTATTTTATTATGCTCATGAGACTAACGTAAAGGTTTTCAGTGTTGTTTAATTTTAAGGGCTTACAATGGTTCCAAGCTGTAGGTTGACTTTGTTTGACCTAGTTTGACTTTACTTTCATTCAGCTTGACTTTTAAGTTGACTTGTTTTGAATGATTTTAAAGAAAGTCTTCCGCTGTGTGTCTTTGATATTTGCTTTAGCCGTTTTCACGATGACGGTAATATCTTAGATTTTCCTATTTCGTATTTTAAAAAGGATAAAACAGGTATGTTAAAGGAAAAGAATTTCTAGGATGTTACATACTCGGTCGGCCAGGGGTTATTCTAGATACAGGGTTATTTGGTGTGTGTCGGCTGGCCACACTATGTGGCCAACCGCACACAAAAATTGCGGTTTTTATTTACCTTTAACTCTTTAAACAACCAAATCCAAATATTTTTTGTTTATTAACCATCTTTGTAAAAAAAAAAGTGTGTAAAAAAAGCAATTAAATTTTTAACTTGGAGATAAGAGGGAGTTTTAAAAATCAAAAATTTGCAAAACTACTCTATATATTTCTAGTTTTTGTTTGTTGTAAACTGTAGGGGATCATCTCAATTCAAACATTGCAGTTAGGAGTTACAACCACAAGATTTTACTGGAGTACAAACTACAAAGTACACAAAAACTATAATTTATAAAAAAATTATCAGGAATAAAATCCATATATATCGTATATAATCAAGCAAGCTTAGTGAAGTTGGGGAGAGACTCATGTTGTGACTTTGAGGTCACGAGTTCAAATCTCACCAACTCTACTCTCAAGCGTTAGCTTTATGTTGAGACATCCTGGACCAAAAATAAAATAAAAGGGAACACATTTAGACTTTCAACAAGATAATCTGTTCAGGTATGGACAAAAGAGCCAAAGATTGCTATTGATCTGTCAACCCCTTAAATTAATGGGTGATGGACCATTTTACATGAATCGAATTCAATATTCCATCTATTTTCTTTATGAATACTCAAAACTGGAAATCAGTCTAAAATATCTGTGGTTTATGTTACAAAACTATCGTCATTAATTTCATCCTTAAATCTACACACGGTTTCTATTCCTCTTTCCTGTTTTGGTTTTTGACATTTCGTTTTCTGATTCCCGACGGTCTGAAGAAACTGAGAAACTAAAAGTAAGGTATTTATAATTCGTCGTTAGCTGGATGTTCTTCAGCTTTGACATTTTTCTTAATAAATGCTCCCAAATCCTTCAAACTGGACTTCGGCTGCAGTTTAATCTGGAATGAGAGATAGAAAATCAGCTAAAAATAGAATTGGGTAAACATTATGGAAATAATAAGATAAAGGTATTCGATGTTTACTGGATTTGATTTATCAGCCGCTGGATAAAACAGTAGAGCTGGGTAGTCAGTAACCTGCGATATATTAAATATCAATCCAACATGTTAATTTCCATCCAAGAGTACAAAGCTACAATATGACATAATGTGCTTATTGAGCGTATTTCTGTATCAGTTCATCACACACACAAAAAAAAAAAAGGTAAATATGACTATATAAACATTCGCAATATTTATAGAAAAATATCAAATTCAGTTTTTACTTGATTCCCTAACTTATTTGTTACTTCGATATATTAGACCAATAATGTACCACTTTCATACATAATTCACTTGAATCTTACAGGGTTTCCTATTCGCAAGGTTCACTATTAATGATCATATGCCACAGAAAACAATCCCTAACAACAAGGTGATTCTATATACAGAGTACTTCCATTCTATATATCTTCATAACCTTTTAATGACAAAACTGTCCTAGTCTTCTCCGAAAAAGCTATGAGAATAAAAAGAAATATTCACAGAGAATATTTTTTTTTAATTCATGGAGAACAAAATTATGCATAGGGAATTTTTTCTTCAATGGGAACAATTTTATAGATTAAAACCAATACTAATCATTCATTGTTCTACTTTCCTTAATTCCCGTGAAAAATTCACAATAAGCTAAACAACATGGGACAAAGGGGATATCGCATTGAATTTTAAATGATTTAGAAAGTATATCTAAGTTAAATATTATTCGCTTTGTCCAATAAAGAGCATTATTTTTTATTTTTTTTATTTTTTTTAATGTGAATTTTTCACGGGAATTGAGGAAAATGAAACATTGCATAACAATTAGTAATAATTTATTCAATGTGGACACAATATTTTTTTAGAAATAAGAACAAATTTGTAATTTTTAGGTAAAGATGAGTTAAAAAATTAGAAAAGAATGATCATTTTGGAAAACCCTTAAAAAAACAAGAAAAAAAAAAATAGGGGATGGAGGGAGCATCTCTTATAATACCTCAATATTATTACGTAGTTAATTAGTTATTTCTACCCAGTTCCAGCTACCTCTTTATGTTTATTAATAGACTGTCATTTACTCACACTTATAGCATTGATAAGTGGTAATGAAAATGATGGAATGAGTCGATTGCTAGTGGAAAGGCAAGTTCATGCCTTTGTCGATAAATTTACATGAAAGATCCTTCTAAATGTCCATGGCCATAGATTGTCATATTCCTTTGCTTTTTTTTTTTTCTTTTGCTAAGTACTACCTATGTTACATATTATGTGCAACTTTTGAGTATTATATATGAAATATAAAAAATTCAAAAGTTGCACATAATATGTAACAGAGGTAGTATTTGTTTCTTATCATTGTTTTTCATTACCATTTACATCTTTGAGGGCATGCTTGACATTGGGGTAATGAACACAAGATAAAGAGAATGAAGATGGGTTTAGGTGGTGGTAAAAGTGATGACGTAGTACATCAACCTAAAAACTAAAAAGGATGGGTTGGTGGGTAGCTATAACCCTCAAAAGGAGGATAATAATACCCCCATTCTCCACCTTATACAATCACTACCTCATCCTATCACCTCCATCTCCATCCACGCTCATTCTCTTTAATATTTATCTATTGCTCTTACCCTTTAAAATACTACCCCCATTCACAGCATGCCCTAAGTGATAATAAGTGGTTATGAAAAAGAAAAGACTACCGGAAAGTCATTAGTATGGACATTGACACAGATCATTATCCGAGCAAAAGCCCACCTATTTCATTACAATTCCTCTATTTAACCTTTTATAAAATGAGTAGTGAAAAGTGGCTCAAGGATTCAAATCCATACAATATAGCAGCAATGTTTGCTAAAAGTCTTCAGCTCTTTCCCAGCCCAATCACTTTTAAATATACACATAACACTAAAGGAATAAAGTCCCGTTATTGCCTCAAAAGTGAAAAGTCAATATATTGAACAATAAAGGGATGAGATATAATATAAAAACGAAAAAGACACATAAGCACAAAAAGGCTAAGAAGATGAACAAACCCATAAAATTCCATTAAGTTAAGTAATAACCTGACCAAAAAGGCAGCTTATACATCAACCATGATGATGTCAGTAAGCTATTGAACTAGAAAATGAATCCAAAACTACTACATTCTTACAAAATTAGTTTAAATACTACATAACAAATACCCCCTCCATTTCAGATTAAAGGTTACACTTTTCTAATTTCGGCACTATAAAAAATGATTACGCTTTACCATTTTCCCTTTTGAGACAAGCGTCCCATATCTTTTTTTAATCATTTCCTCTCATTCTATACATATCATAGCTCTTTTAGGTCCACTACTTGTTTTATTTTTTACTATTGTTTCCTTATAAGTTTCCATTGAAGTGTTAGGCCCTGTTCTTTTGAGCTTCTAGGCAGAGCAGATTTAGGGTAGAGCAGATTATTATTATTATTATCATTAATTATTTATTATTATTATTATTATTATTATTATTATTAGATTTTTACTCTTTTTATAACATTAGAAAATGTGTTAAATAATATAAATATTAATTATTATTATCTATAAATATTAGTTATTTTTATTAAATAATAATTATTATTATTATTAATTATTATTTTTAAGTAGAACAGAGCAGATTTCAGTAGAGCAAAGCAGAGCACAGCAGAACAACTCAAAAGAACAAGGCCTTAGTGTGTTACCAATGATTTAATAAGGGGGAGAGAGTAATTGGCAGTGGCAAGATATTTCAGGTGAGAAGCTTGCTAAAATAGGAAGCCTTGAAAAAAAAAAAAGAAAGAGAGAGGAAGCTGGTTATTAGCACTTAAAAATTGTTTGGCACCCTCAACCCAAAAAAAAAAAAAAAAAAAACCAAATGTTTGGCAAGGAGATATAAAGCTAGCTAAAGCAATGAACTGTGCAAAGCACATAAGTCATACGAGACATACATGAAAATGCAGAGAAAGAGGGCCAAATGCTTATATTCACTATTCTGTTATCCCTTGGTCCCAATGTTTTCCTTTTTTTTTTCTTTTCATTTTTTTACAAGCTGCACTGTTGAGAATTTAACTTGATACTGTTTTCTGGAAATCACATTCAATCTTAGTTTCATAAAACTCCCACACAAATATTATTGTCTCAGATGCACTTACGCTAGTACCAAAGGAACTCAAGTATGTCTGTCACAGGAAAAATGAGGTATATATCTTCTCCATTATCATGCAGACATTTACAGAACATTAGCATATTCCAAAAATTCAAGGTACTGACCTGAAGTTTTGGATGCTCATTTACAGAAGCATCTATCTTTGCAAATAACAGATTTTTCAATCCTTTGAAATGCTTCGCCAACTTCTCTACTTGCTTGCTTACAGCATCACAAGTCATGCACCATGGTGTGTAGACCTTAAAGGTTTAACGAACATCAACACAAATAAATTTAATAAAACAAAAAAAAAAAAAAAAAAAAAAATCATGTGAGCAGAACCAAAATATTTTCGAGTTGACTATTTGCCACAGATTTATCTACATTTGTTATATTATTCAAAAGATATTTGAAACAGAGAGGGGGAGAGACATCAGCCTAAAGAAAGTAAAACTGAAACTGGAAGTGCATGATGAATACATATTGAAACTGGAGATAGACAGTGAGAAGAAGACACAGATGCCAAAGGAAAACTGAAAAGAAATCCTATAGAATTGTACTGTACAACTCTTAGTTTGTAAACATGTTATTTTGTGCTACAGAAAACATCATAAATTTTAAAAATCTCCATGTGATGCACAGCATAAAATGAAAGGAGAGGGTAAAGAGAAGAAACTAAAGGAAGGACATGAAATCACAGGGGCACAGATGGTAGGAGCACTAACCTCAAGAAAAACATTCTTGGAACTACTCAAAACCAGGTCATCAAATGTCTTTCCCACTACAGCGTGGATGCTAGCATTTTCCTGTAATTATCAACAACTTGTAATTAAAGCAACCAATAGACAAGTTGTTTTCCTATGAATTATTACGGGTTTCTACAAGAAAGACTCACCATTCAAGCATCTCTAGAAAACATTCAAATTAATAAGATCTATCGAAGCAACTTTTTTAAATAAAAGGTTTTACTAACAACATTCGAAGTACACAAGTTAGATACAAAATATACCACCATAATTGATGGTTCAAAAAATAGCGGGATCACTGAGAAAATTGCAACTATCCAAGTATCGACTTTAGTTGAATGTTGCAATATTTAACCTAATAATAATGCAATACTGCATCCAAACAATTAAGATCCTTTTCTTCTCAAATATATTAAAGAGAATGTTCTCAAATGAAGTAGTTCATGTAGCAAGATAAAACAATTGTCCTCGAAAATCATAAAAGATGTATATTCACCGTCCTTCTAGATTTGATCATCCTTAGTAGTCAGAGTATCACAAAAATGTAAAGAGCTGAAATAACAGAGGTAAAAAGGATGTGGAAAAACTCACATTATCAGGTATAGTCTGTGACTTATAATACATTGGAACAGTCCCATCTAATAGTCCAGAGCAAAAATCCTATATCATGCCAGAAAAGAAATTATGTGCCATTCTACACAAACTACATGTAGAGTAAATAATTATAGCAAACAATGATTAAACTTACTTCTAATTTGCTTGGAGTAGGTTCTGATTCCAACAGATACTTTGTGCTAATCTTACTATCAAACGCAGCAACCTATCAGTAACAAAGGTCAGTTATGCTCAAGTAAGAATGGCATAATCAGGTAAACAATTGACAAGGCAATAGGGATATAACTTACAACAGTCTTCTGAGATTCTTCTAGTCCAAGCAGAGTCAGGAAAGGTTTTGCCAGGTTCTCCTCGGTAATGTCTACATATATGAACATTATCTGCACCAATGAAGTCCAACGAATCAACTAAGTGTTTAAAATTAATAGGTTAAGGATGACAGAGAAAATGAAATGTTACCTTTGACTTAAACTTCTTGGCAACTTTTTGAAGAGGCACAAGAAGGGACTTAAACTCATCAGAATCTGCAAACACGTAAACCTACAATTCATTTTTGATAGGCATTAAAAACTTGCTTGTTAAATGGTTTGATGATTAATGTGCAGAGTTCGATAACACCAAATTAAAATGATACAAATGTCTGAATTCAGGAAAACCAACTGGAACATATGAAGCTAAGCAGAATTTGGGCAATCTTAGAGTTACTCCACAGAGGAGTGGGAGGTAAGGGGGAAGAAACTTTCCAGCAATCAAGACTCATGGTATGAAAAATAGGCATCCACTGAAAGATATATCAATGGATACCAAACTTAAAACATTGAGCGAAAATTTAGCAAAAGATATACCCTGGTGGACATCTATCGAAATGAAATGGGTTTGGGGTAGAGTCTTAGTACAGAAAGAAAAACAGTCATCATTGTCACTTAAGTCATTCAAGATTATGGTGAAAGACAAATCAAAACATGACCCTGCCCACCTGGCTTTACTTCTTTACGAACAAAGAGCAAGTGAGAAAAGAAAGAAGTCAGGGAACAGTTTGGTTAATATGTCTAACTCAACCCCTTCCCTCCTTCCTTGATTCTCTCCCCCTTGCCATATTGGATGGCAATGCATCTCCCAAGAATGAGGTGATGACATGCATATTATATGATGTTGCAAAGAGTTATTAGTGGTAATTTAACGGCAAACACATCCAAAGCGACCAAAAAGGGCTCCATGAGTCTAACTATGAAGTTTTCCAACAGATTTTCAGTAAACATACATCGGATTGCTACTGCATAATTTGAGACCACAGACTATTACAAAGTGTCACCGGCCGGAAATTTAGGCTTAGGATTGACAGCTTTCAAGCAATCCAAAAATCACTTCATATGATGGTGAACGAATAGATATAAAGTCTTCACCCCAAAATTGTTCACAATAGAGGCATAAAGTAAAATGAGGGTAGCACTTAGAGAGCTCCCTCTTAATTCAAAAATGCTTATGGGAAATGTAGTTTATGCACATGTAGGGCTAGGGATGAAAAAAATTCATATATGCAGATACCCCTGGAGCCTGTGAGAACAGATGCAAGGATGTTTTCCTCCTTGAGCTGTCAAATTAAAAGAGAATGCAAACGTAACTGTATATATTGATCAAGCTTATCTTATTTTAATTAAGTTGCAATTGTATATGGTTAATGTAGCCCTTACAGAAATTTCTTTTTTAAGCTAATTTAAAGCATTTTGAGCTCTTGAAAAAAGACAAACTTAAATGGAGTATACAATAATAGACCTGCAGTGCTAAGTGACCTTAGTCATGCGCCTTTAAGAGTTTAGGTGAGGTAGATGAGGCGCAGCTTGACTCGTCATAATTCTTGTCACTTTTTATGAATTGTACCTCACTACAATGAGACGTGCCTAAGGCATAGGGAATCCCTATCACGTTGGTGCTCTCTAGCCTTTTTATACATTGGAATTGACGAAGAAATATTAACCTCTCCTGTGAAGTTGCCTCAGTGAGTCAGTAGGATCATTTCTTTATCTTATATATCAGAGCAAGTTAAAGGTTTAGGGTTCCTGAAATTTTTAGGTGAGAAGCATTTGAATCTTAGCTTCTAGCTTGTCACAGCTTGGCACCTTAGCGCATCAGATATAATTTAGATTCATGTACTCGTTTTTCCTTTAGTTAAAAAAAAACTAAAAATCCTTCCTGAACTGAACATGCTTCCAGCAAGAATCAAACTACAATTAACCCCTTAATAGGGGTCACGCTTGAAAAATTTGCACATGGATGGAAAAGGACTCAGGAAGTGAACTAGGTTGTAGCATTCCTTCTTGAGTTTCTATTTCTACCAATAAGATGATTCAAGAATAGAAGGAATAGGAAGATGAGTAATTCTAAACTTAATATTTCTTGCCTTTGATGAAGGCCTCAGGAAACCTCACATCATAAGTAAAAAAAAAAAATTGAAAAAAGAAGGCCTCAAGAAACTTCACATCATAATAAGTAAAAAAATAAAATAAAATAAAATGAAATTTCAGGATGCAACTGTTGCAACTGTATATAGTGCACTGTTGCAACTGTATACATGATTTTCATAACTCTGAGAACAATGGATGCCAGTTGAAATTTCAGGATGCAAACATATGAAAGTGAAAAGATGCAACATGACAAGCATGGTAAACATAAAATAAAAGTGTAACAAGAAACCTGATATTTAATTTTGCTTGAGTAGACTTTAACAGAATTCAACTCAGTTAGAGTTGTAATTAATGGAAACTTGTTGTGTTCCAAAAACTGCAATATATTGTCCATCTCTAGGGGCTCTTCTGCAGAAGCAAACATTATTACCTACATCAGAATGATAGTAGTACTGAAGAAAAAGGTAAGAGAACAAAAGGGACTGGACAAGCCTTTTGCAAGCTATTGCCTGAAATGATCAAGATCAAATAAAATAAGGTGCCATCACTGATTTAAGATGTTATAATTTTCTTTATAACCTACTGAATTCAAATACACAGATAGGTTAAGACAAAATATCAGTGACAAAAGGCAGTACTTACCAAATCTAGTATATCTTTCTGGTTCACTCTTGACTAGACCTATAAAAGGTTTTGTGATCTTGGTATCAGGGAAAAGAAATTTTGCAACCTCATCGGATTTAGTTTCAACAAACTGAATTTCATTGTCCGATATTGCGGCGTTGATATATTCTTCATACTGAGGACCCTGTATATTGTAAATTATTTCACACAGATAAATTAACAGCTGCAAGAGGATTTGTGTAGAGGACTAGAGGGGAAGCACCAATAAAATAAACTTCACAGAAAATTCAAGGCAAAACTTGTCAATATGACATGCATAACAGAATGATTGAGTAGTTATAACTTTGAACCAGGTTCTCTTCTCCACCTCTCAAGTTTGTAAAAGCAACTAAAGTATACACAAAACCCCTAATGCAAACAATTCCTTGCAAAACCCTTTCACATGAATGCAGCAGCCATAGAACTACGCTTGGATTTATAGTCATTGCAATTATTGCCTTTTCCTAAAGTGAAATTAATCTCATACCACACAGCCAACACTGAACAAGCATAACTACTTTTAACTCAAGACAACTTGCCTTTTGACCTTGGCATGTACTCACTCCGTATTTTATTACTTGTTCCATTTCTCCATGCGCAGAGTTTTAGGAGGAATAGTAGAAAGTAATAAAGCATGATGGAAGTAGCATTGGTTGAAGAATAAAAAAATTTTAAAAAGCAAAAGTGAGTATAAGTGGGAAGGAGAGATAACAAGAAAAATACTAAAAATTGATATGAGGGGACGGTAAAGAAAATAGTAAAATACTGTTAAAAGTTTCCAAAAAAAGGAAATGGAGCAAGTAATAAAATACGGCTGCAAAAGGAAAGTGGAGCAAGTAATAATATTGGAAGGAGTAATAAAGAAGCATAATTGTACATAACCTTATTTTATGGTCGAATATTAGACAAACATAACCTAGAAAGATCGAGATTTGGGCCTGTTCACTTCATCTTATTTTTGCTGATTTGAAATTATTTTTACTGAATTAAAATTAATCTTGCTGAACTTATATTATATTTACTGAGCTGAAATTAATTTTACTGAATTGAAATTATTTTTGCTGAACTGAAATTATTTTTGCTGATTCTCTATTATATTTTGAAGTTACTGATTTTTACAAAACTGAATTAATGAAATTATTTTTACTAAACTTAACTTATTTTTACTACATTGGACTTATTTTTACTGATTTGAAATTATTTTTTATTGATTATTAATTTTTTTAAGGTGAAGTGAACAGGGCCTTAATCACCTTATCAATGATGATCCGTAATAAAGCATTAAACAACGGATTTTTTAGTAGAGCAACAACTTAACATACATCAATGATAGATCATATATCAAATGGGGGAAATCGGGTGCAATTTTATATCATCCAAGTTCATAGGTAAAAGAACAGAAGGGAAAACAAAAACTTCATTGTAGATAATTAAACAAGTGGTAAATTCTTTATATGCGACTTTCCAAACTCATGACCTTATGTGTATATCTACGTTATTGACCTTGTGTGATTTCTAGATCATTAACGCAGATGATTCTTATGTGTTTGAAGATTAGGTGTTAACATAAATTATCAGATAAATAAAATATTACGGGCCTTATGGAAAACATAATTTTACGTTCAACAAATCTCCCATCCAGCCACACTTAGAAGCCCTGAACATATCTCAAGGACACAACCCATGTGCCATGTTTTGAACCATACTGCACGGTGACTTGACTGACTTCCCTCATTATCACCCTACAATGTTGTCTAGATCTTATGGACATCCTTAGACTTGATGACTTCAACAACATCCATTCAAATGGTAGTTCCAACCTTGAGTACGCTTACATAAATTTGAGTATTTACATTTTTAAGCTCACACCAATTTGCACACAAATAATAATGAGTCTATGAGCGCTTATTTGAAAGACTCCACACACCTAAACCAAGAGTCACTAGATAAATGAAACTAAGTATTCACCTAGATCATCTAACTAGATATTATAATACAACTAGGATATCCATCATCATCCTAATGCCAAATTACAACTGAAATGTAAAAGGGAAATTAACCAGACCTAGGCACTTCTGAAACTTATCCCAAGGTGGACTTCACAACATATTGATTTCATATAGAACTTGTATCCAAGCATTTTGTCACGATCCTTGACAAAGTTATTGGAATCAAAAGTTGCGCTATTTAGCACATGAGGATTGGACACCCACAGTCTTAGCTTAAAATGCTGAATAGGTTGAGATTTGGAGCTAACTCTAAGTCTTTATTAAGATATCATGCTTCTTTCATCTGTCATTGTAATGGTCTAATGGATAACACCCATTGACTCATCAAAACATCTTAGAGAAGTAATGCCGATGTGGCAATAGTCAATGTGGGTCTCTTGTACGTTGTATGTTCCCAAGTGGAAGTGTGGAGCTCCAAAAAATGCATATGCACCCAACAACAATAAGAAAAAGGAGCAAACATTGCTACTTTATAGATTCTAAAGGTTAAGATCAGGAGAATGAGGAATTCTTAGGCTCTAACTATTAGAGTCATAAAAGACTAATAAGGGCAAACAGGTAAATCCAAAAAAAAGCAATTATAAAAAAATCAAGGTAAACAAAAAAGTAAAAGCAAAACAAAATCTGTAAAAAAATGCCCTTTTCAATTTTTTGTTCGGTGTAGAACAAGAATCATTTGGTTCACATTGGAAGTAACTTCCCATGGGAATTTATATTTCATAGGAAATTTTTTCCCTTATGAATTTCCTAGGAATTAAACTAATTTGTTTGGTAGACACTATAGGAAATGCATTCCTAAGAAATTGAACTCGCCAAGGAGGGAGTTGGTGAGTAATTTCCCATGGTTTGTGGGAATTTGTATTTCTCTTGGAATTGCTATTTCTCATGTTTACCTTATTTTCCTCCAACCAAACACACCTTCATTTTAATACTTCTTAGGAAATTCCATTTCCAACCAAACACCACCTTAATTTCTCAAAAATGAAATTCTGGCAAATTGAGTTCTTCGTTATGCTATTTCCTCAAATGGAGTTCTCAACATGTGACAAATTTTGGCGCCAAAACATGGCGGGAACAAACCGTTGATGCTGTTCTTGTTCCATCTTTTGTTGTTGATGGTATTTTTTATGATACCAACGAACTTCATGATGGTATTCGTTTAGATACCAACGGGCCCTTGGTATTCTCCAACAATTCTTGTTTAGATACCAACAACCCTTGATGGTATTATCCAACAATTCTTGATTGTATTCCTTTTTTCTATTTGCCGTTGATGGTATTCTTTTAGATACCACCAAGTACAATAAGCTGTGATTTCGATTTGTTGGATAATATAAATTAGTGGTAATTTGTTGTGTTCTTCAATTACCCAAAAAATTCATTCTGACACTTGCTTGGCAGAATTATTGCGATTTGGGCACAGTAGCGGCTAGGGTTCCAATGAGACAAAGGTGGAGGAAAATGAGGGCCAATAAACACAACAAGAACAACTAGGGTCTCTTACCGCCATTATTTGTTTTGAAGTATTTTCCTTGTAGAGAAATCTATTTAAGGAGTATTTTCCTTGTAGAGAAATCTATTTAAGGAGATGCCTTATTAGACGCTGAAATTGTAGGGATTTCTAATCTGAGCAATGGAGTTTTGTTTTGAAGCTATAACATTAATTACAACTGTCCTTTTTTTACCAAAATTTGTTTTGCTTTTTTACTTTCCCTTTATTTTTCTTAGAATTGCCTTTTTAGATTTACTATTTTGCCCTTATTAGAGTTATTCATGACTCTAATAGTTAGAGCCAGAATTCCTCCACGAGAGTACTCTTATTCAAAGCACTTTTCGGGAGAAACGAATACAACATAAATCGAACAAGAATCTAAAGCAATCCATATAAAAACAAAAGTAGGTAGCTTTGTCATAGAAACATGTCCAAAAACAATAACATCGCTCTAACAATCCAATGCAAGGCCATGATTCCGAAATGATCAATCCAATTCACTATATAATACTCCTTATTTATCAGAACATATCAATCATCCAATCAATTCTAGTATAATTCAGCAGATCACACTACACTAACTCGCAGTTTCGCACCACATTACACAATATTGAAACAAAAATTACTGACTTGTCAATCAACTGCAGTAAGCACACGATAAACAATACCAACGGATACAAACTCAGAAAAACATATTATAGATAGCACAGATTCACCAATGCCGATGATAATACATCGAATTCTCCGAACCAAAACCAAAACTACATAATTGGAGAAATTTACAGAACAGAACATACCTCAAAATTCTCAAACAGCCCAACAGCATACATACTGTATTTCTTAGCAAATGCCTCAGCTTCAGCAACTGAATTCAATCTAACAACAGGCTCACCCGTCTTCTTCCTTGCCCAAATCAGTATCTCCTCTCTAATAAAAAACCCCATCTCAAAAATTTCAGAAATAATCCAAATAAAAAATACCCTTCAAATTCAAATTTAACAAAAAATTAAAATTAAAATCAAAATCTTACGCAGAAAATCCACCAGTATACTGCTGAGAAGTGCCATTGATGAAAAGAAGCAGAGTAGGGTAACCCTTAATACCCAAAGACGACGCCGTTTTAGGGTACCTTTCAGCATCAAGCTTAGCCATCAAAAGGGGGGAACCCAAATCATTCAAAAAATTAGCAGATTCAGCAAATTGGGGCATTAATTCAGCACTTCTAGGGCACCAAGGAGTATAACCCAGAAGAAGAACAAACTCAATTTGGTCAATAATTTTCTGGGTATTATCATTATTCAATTCCACCACAATTCTCTGAGCTTTGCTCAATACTCTAGCTTCTGAAGATGGTGACGATGAACCATGGTCGATTTCATCTTGTTCGTCGAGTGCTAAGAGTTCTTCGAACTCCGATAATTCATCGCTGTCGTCGGCGGCGGAGGAGGTGGGGTTGTCGGCGGAGGAAGAAGAGAGAAGGGGGGTTAAGAGGAGAAGGAGAAGGAGGAGAGAGAAATGGAGGGTTTTGGACATGGCGGAATTAGGAGAGAGAAAATGGGTGAAAATGTGTGTGAGAAATGGAGTGAGTGTGAGTAAGATGCAGAAAGTGATGGCGGAATGATTTGCGTTGATCGCGGAACTGGAAATGGGGACGAAGGAGATTGATGGGGAGAGAGAACTTTTATATAATTTTGACTTGAATGAGAGATTGACTTTTTTTTTTTTTTTTAAACAAGAGTGTGTTCAGTTCATCTTAAAAACATGATCATAAAGACGTATAGTTCGATACTCCGATTTTTGAAGGGTTGCAAATTGAAACAATTTAATTTGGACAATTGTTTTTGGTGCAATAATTTTGAGATTTTGACAATATTGTACTAATATACGACGTAGAAGTATAAAATATAGAGTATTAACTTTGTCAGCGTACATTTTATACTACTTTCAGGTTTACGATTTAATTATGACGGATCAGGTTCAATATAGGGGAAATATGAGGTAAAATTCGTGGCTACTCAAGTCAAATACGACAAGTTCAAATTAATATAAGGGCAGTGAACAATTATTGTGATGAGGTGTAATATGATAAAAAATCTATTAGGATTTAGAAGACAACTAGGTTAGTACATTGCGATATATGGTTTTAACATTAAGAATTTTGCTCATTTAAGTTATGTGATTAAACTAAATTGCTTGGTAAAAATAAAAGTTCCCTCTAGAGTCGTTCTCTTGGGAGGGTTTTCTGCCCTAGTCGCTGCTAGGTTTTGTTCCTTTGTTTTCAAAGGTTTTTCCCTTTGATTGTTGTTTTTTGTTCACGATGAGTACGAGCCCTTCTATACCTAACAACAATGAAGACGAATGCAATGAAGAAGTAGAATGACAAATTGACGGAGAGGAGGACGAAGAAACTAGGGTTGCACTAGTGGTTGTGGGAAAAGTATGGACGGAGAGGAATGTTAATAGCAATGCTTTAATTGCGACAATGAAGCGAATTTGGAACCCTAAACATGGAATGGAGGCGAATAGTATCAGAAAGAACACCTTTTTCTTCCAATTCCACCACTACAAGGACAAGGAATTTGTTATGGATGCTCGACCATGGCATTTTGATCGACATACTTTGGATTTGTGTGATGTCAATGGCGATGAAAAGCCTTCTGATATCCCCCTATATCATTCCCCCTTTTGGATTAGGGTATACGACCTTCCCTTTGTGGGTCGAACCAATGAAGCAAACACAAGAACAATAAGGAACAAAGTGGGAATGTTCATGGCGTTGGACAAATCTGACATCGTTGGGATCAATAAATCTTTGCGGATCCGAACGATGGTTGATCTGAGGAAGCCCTTAGTAAAAGAAATAAGTTGAAGATAAGGGGAGGGGTGAAAAAAACCTTCGAAGTCAAGTATGAGAAACTGTCGCTGTTCTGATACGTGTGTGGGAAACTTAGCCACGGGGATAAAGACAGTGATGATGCTATTCATGTGGAGAACCCTAAAAGAATATTCAATGAAAATCTTAGGGCTTCCCCATGTGTAGGCGTCATTTGAAGCGCGCCTACTTAAGCATGTTGTGAATATTCTAGGCAACAACGAATGACCCGTGAAGGTTACACCCCATTCATAATCCATGAGATTACTAACTCTATATGGTTCGGAACCACGAAAGAGGGATCGGGGATGATGGTATAGCCGAGAAAAAATCTTCCTTAGAGTTCTAGCTTCCACAGGGACATTGACGTAGCCGCTCCCGGAGACACGGTCGAGAAATGCCATTACCAGGGTAACCTGTGAGTCATAAAGTCACATTCGGCCGTATTGGCCTCTACTCGATTCTTATAGTGAAAAGTATCTCCTGCGATCTCAAAGGTATACTGTAACACCCCCAAATCTCCCTCACCGGAAAGACTAGTATAATACGTATATTTATACCGTAGAGATAGACTTAGGCGTATTACCGCCGCGTGATTACGCAAGACTACTCAAAATACTTAACTCAATAACAAAACTTGCAGCGGAAACTCAACTTTCTTTCATATTATCTTATAAAAATAGTAACATTGTTATGAGTACTCAAAATAAAGACAAGACCAACATTTCTAAACTAGGTGAAGCAAATCCCGGGACTCCCGTATGCTCATTCATGACTCCACCTGAAAATAGTTAACACTGCTTACCATTACGGTAAACAGGGCGAACCAACAAATAGGAAATACGGATTAGCAAAATATGCTAAGTACGATAAGTGCAAGATAAGTAAATTCAATTTATTTGCAAACATGCTTGTAAAACCAATTCCAATAATTAATCCAATAAATTCCAAACTCATGTTTCAAAACCAATTCTCAATAATTCAATAATTCGATGAAAGATTTATAAAACCAACTCCAATAATTCAATAATTTGATGAACGATTTATAAAACCAATTCCAATAATTCAATATTTCAATAATCAATTCAATAAAACAATTCTTCTTTTTAAAACCAATTCCTCACCCAAATGTGCACACCCCCCAAGCTAGTCTCCTTATATTGCAAGGCTATTTTTGAGGAAAGACTCGGTCTGCAAAGTCCAAAGTCTTATCAACTAAATCCGCATAGTGGGATTACTAACAACATGCTTGTAAAGCTTTAATAAATAATTCAATAAAATTCCTCTTTGAATAAAATCAACCTATATAATAGGTTAACTCAAAACTCCTTTTTATTTAATTCAACATGCTTTCAAAATTAACCTTTTAATAAATGCCTGAGAATTAAATTTCTTATAAATAACTTTTCAAAATCAATAACTCTTCCTTTGAAAAACCTTTTTAAAAACTCTTTGAAACAATCCAACATATTTTTTTTTATATAAAAAAAAAAACCAAATTCTTTTAAACATAATAAATAATTTCAAACAATTCAAAACATGAAATAAAAATCAATCCTTTAAAAATACATTTATAAAACAAATATTAAAATCAAAACCTCCAAACATACTTTATTTCATAAATCATGATTCAAATCAATTTAATTCAATCACTAATAAAAATCATATAAAACATGCTATTCAAACCAATCACTTTCGAAGGTATCTAGCCACCTAAACATACCTTGATTCCGAATATCAATCAACACTTCGCACTTTTAAAGTTCAATCACGAATACACCTTGCAATTAACATAACCATAAGGTTACCACAACATCTTTAGACATAAACCCAAATCTAATGTGCATGGACTATAAAACTCTTTTAAAAATAATACTTTAATATAAAATTATAACTTTGAAATAGGTATTTATATTTTAGAAAACTAACCATGAAGAAAATAAAGGAATAGGATTAAAAAGAATTGGATTTGCGTTGGAAAGAATAGGCAAAACTTGCAGAGATCATAAATCCTTTGATATAACTCTGAATTGGGTGATTTTTGATCCTAACCCCAATGATTTTTCAAGAGGAACAATTTTTTGTGAAATATAAAAACCCCAAAACTGACCAGAAGTGCCCAAAAATTGGCTCCAAAGATATACGGGCAGATTTTCTTTTAGAAAAGAGGAGAAGAAAAGTAGGAAAAGGTTGAGGGAAAAGAAGAGTAAAAGAGAAGAAGAGAATTGAGTTTTTGGTGTGAAGATTATGAGAGGTATGAGGGGGTATTTATAGGCTAGCTTATGCAAGAATTATGGTAGAAGAATGTAGGAAGAATTATGGTAAAAAGAATTAAGGAATTACTTGGAGAAGAGAATGAAAGAAATATGGAAAGTTTTGATATTAAGGTGATTAAGAATAATAGAATTAAGGAAAGTGTGTTGTCATAAAAAATAATATGGAAAAATAGATTACTTGGGGAATAATCAAGGAAGATATTAGGTAGGAAAATAAGATGATCAAATATTTAAGAGATGGAGAAATAAAATTAAGGAAAATAAGATATTTTAAGGAGATAATTAAAAATACAATTTTCCAAAATAAATCACCCAAAATTTGACCATGAGACCCGAAAATATTGAGCTTCCATAGCTCAAATTTTCAGATCCTATTAGTATATTTTAGGGAGTTATGTTGCTAGATTTAAGGAATTAAAAATAATCGTGTAAATAATATTTATTGTATAAAATAATTAATTAAAAAGATACCAATTATTCACTAAATAAATTAACCTAGAAAATCAGATTTTCCACACTAGAAAAATCTGAAAATCTTAGTCAATAATTAGGAATTTTTGGACCTTATTAATTAAATAATAAAATATAGTTTTTTGTTTTAATTAAAATATCCGAAATATATAAATAATCCAGTTTTTAACATAAAACGAATGGATAATAAATCTTATCCAAAATCCAAAATAATTATTAATTTTTAAAATGTATTTGGCGCCAAAATTCAAATAGTAAAATAAATACTAAGATACCCTTTTTAGAAAATATTAATTAATTAATTAATTAGAAAATACGTTTCAAAAATACGGAGTATTACACATACAAACAAAGATTCAATTTGCTCCAAACTAATATTAAGTTAAATTGGTTGAATATTAATGCAACACATAATTCTAAAATATTGTGATCACTTGATTAAAGAATAAGATTAAAAAGGAACATAAACCGGTCTTCTAAATTATCTTATTTATCAAGATTTTCAATTACATATTCCCTTTAAACATGCAATATATTGATCAATAAATATAATAAAATCAACATGAACATTGGAAGCAATTTAACCATAAAAATAACGATTAGTATACGAAAAACATAACAAAAATCGTTAGAAATAACAGGAACAAAAGGAACATGATTCTTTACTTTGATGGCTTTTGCTTGCAACTATAAAACAATAAACGCGTTAGTAACTTCAAGGAAAATCAATAAACAATAATGGAAATTAAATTAAATTAAAGTAGAGTTGATATGGGGCCAAACCCTCAAACAGTTCTACCTTTCACGCCTTGGTTTAAGTTTAGAACTTCGGGTAAAGTATGGACTCCGAAGAGTGCTTAAGGGGTGTATTGTGGAAAAATAGGGAAGGCTAGTATTTAAGCTAGAGTATAAGAGAGAAAGAGAGTGATTTTTGGTTCCCCGAAACCGAGAAATCAGCCTCATATTTATAGAGAAAATGTGAAGGGTGAGGCGCGAAAACCTAGAAATGAAAAGTGCCGCGGAGAAAACCCTAGAAATTGCCGTGTCACGGCGAAAGCTGTCGTGGCACGGCAAACAGGTTTTCCTTAATTCGGTCTAAATTCATTTTATCTTTTTATTAAGCATTAAGCACGTGATAAATTAGTTGCCATTTCAGTGTTACGGACTTATTTTAGGCTTAGGGTTTTAATATTTATTAATCGAGCTTAATTAATAAACATAACGAAATGGATTAAAATGGTTTGGGCTGAAATAAGGGTTGGACTGTGCTTTGACTAAATATTTGGACTGATCTTTTGACTGATTTGTAAGCTGCGTTTGATTGAATATGGATTTTAAGCACTCCCGAGATTAA